ATGAGGATCATGCTGAGCTATTGGACACTGCTATTGCAATAGAGGTTAACAACCTTGGAAATGCATTCATCATGGTATTTGGGCTCCTTTATGCCCTTGTTTTCAGCTTTCAGACAACTTGAGTTTGTCCAGAAGATCTTGATGATTTTGGATGGACACAAGCTAAACAGAAAAATGTTCATAAGTGGTGGAAAGTAAGTTTCTTTGGATGTTGCGGCGTTACAGCTCAGGTTAAATGTTTACCAAATAAACTGCATTGAGTCTTTATGTTCATGTTGGTTTTTGAAATTTTAGTTATCTTTATGCTGACATTTGAAATGGCATTTTAAAGGAGTTGGTTTTGCACTGTAAATTTTTTACTACACTTAGGGTGGGATGTTAGTGTTAAGATGTTAAACCCCTCAACATGACTGAGGTAGGAAAGCACCACCATGTATATATTGCCTAATTGTCCTGTGTCATGTAGGGCTGAGAGCACTTTGTTTTGGATTTGAGCTAACGGTGGTAAATAACTAAACTACAGTTGTTTTTTTCAGTAATGCCCAAACTTTTCTTGACACTATTTTTTTATATAAACTGAATCTGTTGAATCAGTCAATATTTGGTAAAATTTGCATTACTTGTCTTACATCATTAGAATGACATAATTTAATATATTGTCTGCTTAATTTGAATAATTGACAGGTTGTTCAAGCTGTGACTTCTGGTCCAGGGTGTCCGATCTACTTCTAAAGTGCTTTATTATTATTATTTTTTTTTTTTACTTTTTTTGAGTGGGTAAAATAGATGTGAAACTTTGTCACTGCCTGAATTATTGCTGATGTCAATAAATGTACCTGAAGCAGATTTTCTCACTCGTGTCTATAAATAAGTAGAACAAAGGAAATTTATTGACATGATATATTCTGTCTCTGTCCAGTCAGTCTTCGCAAAATGGCAAAAGCGGCCAAAAAACTGTAAAATAAGTGTTTCCCTGCAGAACTTTTAGTGCCTTTACTTTGTTAAAGGTGTTTTATTGCAGTAATTTAAAAACCATCTGTTTAAGAACTTTGTGCTATCTATTTATTGAAGGTGTTTGATCATAATAATTTGGTAAAACTCTGTAAAATAATTTTTTTTTTTCTGCAAAACTTATTGCTTTTGTACTTTTTTTGAATTAGGATATTTTACTTTAATTTTATGTTTTCTGTTTGGCAGCCGCTGCTGCCAGTCATTTGACCGTTTTTTTTTTTTCACAGTGCATGCAGAGGTAATGTGTGAACCAGTACGGACACCAATACTAACTCTATCTAACCTAACTAGACTATAAGTCCCGATATTTATTCTACTGTTCCACTTTCATCTAAAGTCTGTGTGTTCTGTGTCACCAATAGGCGTGCAATGATTAATCGACAGCCAAATTAGTTGGCAGCTAATTTAACTGCCGGTTAGTTGGTGACGTCATCTCGCGCTCACTAGGAACGTTTTGACATTACCGCTTACTGGATAGTTAACAACAACGCGATGGCTGCCTCAAGAACAAAATCCTCAAAAGTGCGGAAGAATTTCACGCTAAACTCAGAAAAAAAGGTTGTCAGTTGTGCTATTTGTAAATCCGACCTCCTCCATGATGAAGCATCTGAGAGGAAACACATCGACTCACTGGATAAAGAAGATTCATCTCGGTAAGACATGTTGCGTCCCAAACCACATACTAGCTCACTAAATAGTGTGTAAAAATAGCGCATATACCATTAGACGTGCACTCAGTGTAGTATGTGAAGTACAGACGTGTGTGGTTTGGGATGCGGCAATAGTTCTGCTAGCGAGCTAGTTAGCTAATGTTAGTGTTAAATTCCGTCCTACTTCATGTTATGAGCTGTAACGTTTCTATTTCGAAATGCAGTTAATGGGGTTGGAACAGAGAAGCAAGTACCCATCGTTTACAACGACCTTGTTTACTTTCCAGATAACGTTTACACTTTTAAGCATTGCATCATGGTTCAAATTTGGCGAACACAGGAGAGCGTTTCCAAACAGTTTCCTGTTCCGAGAACGTTTAGCACCAATGGCAAACAGTTTAAGGAGGTAGTTCTTCGTGAACACACAGGGCAGCTGGACAAAGGGTTACCGTTGAAATGAAACTTTACACAAAATCGTACAAATTTGTGTGCTCATAGAGAAGTTTGCCAAAGTTTTACAATCGTTCGTTATACATACATACATACATACATACACATATATATATATATATAATACATACATACATACATATATATATATATATATATATATATATATATATATATATATATATAAAAAATACATATATATATATAAAATACATACATACATACATACATATATATATATATATATATATATATAAAAAATACATATATATATAAAATACATACATACATACACATATATATATATATATATATATAAAAAATACATATATATATATAAAATACATACATACATACATACATATATATATATATATATATATATATATAAAAATACATATATATATATATAATACATACATACATACATACATGTATGTATAACGAACGATTGTAAAACTTTGGCGCATATATATATATATATATATATATATATATATATATATATATATACACACACACACACATATATATGTACACACGTGTGTGCGTGTGTATGTAAAACAATATTAGATGCTCAAGAAAAACTTATTTTTGTTCATTTAGTATATTAGTAATATCTCCTCATATGTATGTCCCGTACACTCTCGCTCACATCTCTGAGCGTCAGACTCTGCTGGACCTCAGAAAGTATTTCATTTATGTTGTCAGTACCTGTTGGCTTGGTTCATGCAAAAGGCCACGAGACCACAGTGCTGTGTGATACAGCTGACCAACAAAGATGCACTGCAGGCAAAGCTAGTGGAGGCATCATTGCACCAAGAGACCAGCGGTTCCCATATATAACCCCATTTCCAAAAATGTTGGGATGCTGTGAAAGATGTAAATAAAAACAAAATGTAAAGATGTGCAAATCATTTAAACCCTATATTTCATTGAAAATGCTTCAAAGATAACATATCAAATGTTGAAACTGAGACATGTTTTTTTGAAAAATATATGCCCATTTTGAATTTGATGCCAACAACACATTCCAAAAAAGTTGGGACAAGAGCAACAAAAGGCTGGTAAAGTTGTGTAATGATTAAAAAAAAACACCTGGTGATTGCAACAGGTCAGTAACATGACTGTGTATAAAAATGCATCCCAGAGAGGCTGAGTCTTTCAGAAGTAAAGATGCGGAGGGGTTCACCACTCTGTGAAAGACTGCACGATCAAATAGTGCAACAATTCAAGAATAACATTTCTCAATGTAAAACAGCAAAGAACTTTTGCTTCTCACCATCTACGGTACATAATAACATTAAAAGATACAGAGAATCTGCAGAAATTTCTGTGTGCAAGGGACAAGGCCAAAAAAACTGTATCTGCTGGCCATGATCTTTGGGCCCCCAGGCGGCACTGCATTAAAAACAGACATGATTCTGTAGTGGAAATCACTGCATGGGCTCATGCTAATTAAAACTCTTTAACGCAAAGAAGAAAGCATATATAAACATGATCCAGAAATGCTGCCACCTCTGGGCCTGAGCTCATTTAAAATAGACTGAGGGGACGTAGAAAAGTGTTCTGTGGTCTGACAAATCAACATTTGAATTTCTTTTTGGAAATCATAGAGACTGTATCCTCTGGGCTAAAGACCACTCAGCTTGTTATCAGTGCACAGTTCAAAAGCCAACATTCATGATGGTATGGGGGGCATTAGTGCACATGGCATGGGTGACTGGCACATCTGTGAAGGCACCATTAATGCTGAACGATATATCCATGTTTTGGCAACATATGCTGCCATCTAGACAATGTCTTTTTTAGGGAAGGCCTTGCTTATTTCAGCAAGACAGCATCAAACCATATTCTGCATGTATTACAATAGCATGGCTCTGTATTAAAAGAGCCTGGGTGCTAAACTGACCTGCCTGCAGTCCAGACCTGTCACCACTGAAAACATATGGCACATTATAAAAAGAAAAATATGATAAAGGAAACCCTGAACTGATGAGCAGCTGAAATCCTATGTTAAGCAAAAACGGGAAAACATTTCACTTTCAAAAAGACAGCAGTTGGTCTCCTCAGTTCCCAAATGCTTACAGAGTGTTGTTAAAAGAAGAGGTGATGAAACACAGTGGTAAATATGAGCCTGTACCAACTTTATTGGAACATGTTGCTGGCATCAAATTCAAAATGGGCATATATTTTTCAAAAAACAATAAAATTTCAAAGTTTCAACATTTGTTGTCTTTGTACTATTTTCAATGAAATATAGGGTTTAAATGATTTGCACATCATTGAATTTTGTTTGTATTTACATTCTGCGCAGCATCCCAACTTTTTTGGAAACGGGGTTGTATCTCTAACCCTCAATATTCACTCCTTCAATAACAACCTGCACTAACACTACATCAAACTATAACTGACTACACAGTGGGAGATGAGTGATTACTGAAAGAAGCCTGGCTCAGACATTTCTGTAACGGGCTGATGTCAGCGTGTTTTATACTGCTTGTATTTTCCATGATTTATTTGTGTGAAATGAATACTTTACAAAGAATTCCAACTGGTCTATCTCCCACTACCACTGCCTTCCCATGAAATACTAGCATTACAGATTTTGCCAAGAGCATTTTTACTGCTGCCTTTCAACTCACACTTCTAACATGTTGTTAAGATCTGTGTACTAGCATGTGTGCACGTCAGAAATTGCTTTGTGGTATCGGTCATCAGTATCCCCCTTCAATCATCAGTGTCCTCATTGCAGATACTGCATTTAAGTGCCAATATCAGCACAGATACAGTATCAGTTTCGGTGCAACACTAACTTCAATGTTCTGGCACACACATTAGAGGCAGAACAAGTTGGACTCCTTTGACTGTTTCTGGACCATTACTTACCACTCCCTCCATGTCAGTCATGTCAGGTGGAGCAATTAAAGACTGCACCATGAATTTGTGTTTGCTCTTCTCGTTGGGGTCATAGTCAAATGGCTGCAGCATCACTGCAAAAACATACAGAAATAAAACACATAAACAGAACTTTTACACACACACACACAATTTAAGCCATTTATCCTTCCGGGTCGCAGGGGGATGCTGGAGCCTAACCCAGGGGTCACTGGGCAGAAGGCAGAAAACACCCTAGATGGGTCGCCAACCCAAAGGGCCAGACCTTTTACGCAGCTGAATATATGCATCACTTCCCCTCACTGATGGTTAAACACATTTATAAAATCTAATCAAATTTCCACAATGCGGACAGAGAGACCATGTTGCTGGGTGCTAAACTGTTACAGAAAAAGTATTACTTTATGTTAGGACATACTACTTCTTTTAGAAACAGAGTAATATAATTAGATTTAATTAAAATATTTTAAAAAACCACAAGCAAAGAACTCTCCAAACTATGTCAAGGCAAAAAATAATATTCCTTCGCTCCTTGCTTTCCGCAAGAGTTTAATAAAGAAAGATGTGGGACTTATTTATTTGCTGAATTTAAAGTATAAAAAGTGGTTAAAAAAATAGCAATAATGTTTTTCATTATTTAATCTCTCTCTCTCTCTCTCTCTCTCTCTCTCTCTCTCTCTCTCTCAAAACAGTGTTCATCTAAAGTGCAATTTCAAAAAGGAAGAAAATCATATAGAGCTCTTGTGTATATATAGTGCAAAAGTCTGGATGCACATTTTAAGTTTTTCAGTGAAAATACATACACATCCTTTACAGAGAACACACAGTTTATTACACCATTACAGATTTCTTAGCTGAATTGAGCAACATATTGGACAGAAAGGAAAACCTAAAATGTGGCCTGTGCAAAAGTTATGGCACATTTTGATGCTTTCTTTTTCCATATATTAACCACAACAAATAGAAAGACACTGTGCACTAAAATTTGAAGAAGAATACCATATTTATTTCTTGTGGAGGATGTGTAAGTGTCAGTTCAGAACTAGATAGAAAAGTGACAAGCTTTATCGTTTATTTTTATTGTTTTAAGATAATACTGCATTTTTACCTGAAACCAGCTGGCTATCATTTTAGTTTAACAGCTGCTGTGTTATTTGATGTCATTTAAATTACAGCAGGCTCATGCAGAGTTGTTTTTTTTTTTACTGATTTCTGTTTCTCATTTTCTTATGTCTGTCAGTAAGAGGTGGGAAGTCTGCAGCAATTTATTCTTTCTAACGCTACACTTTTCCTCCTCCTGCTCCTGTTTTTTGAGGGCATACATTCATACCCAAAAAGGCCTGTTTTTCACTGATGCTCATTCCGTGCATGATTATTGGAAAACTGCAGTTAAATTTAATTAAAAACAAATGCGCTTTGATTTTCAAAACCAGGGAAAACTCTCTCAGATGCGGCTACCAGAGGCGAGCTCATATAGGGGACATGCCAGTTCGCCAGCGAGTTCCAAACTCACTCTGGTTTTGTGCATTATTACAGCCAAAGGCTTTAATACCGCTAAATGAAAACAGACGGCACTGACAGATTAGGAATGTCTGGTTTCGTCAGTCTGATTTTCTGGCCATTTGCAAAACAATGCTATGGCTATTGGCATAAAACACTGCTAAAATCTTTTAAGGATGAGCACAGAGAGAAAAATCTCCATCCATCTCTATATGAGAACCAGGAGATTCCAACAGTGTGTCAAAAAGCCTTGCTAGGATTTCTTGGTTTAAAAAATAAAATTGTAGTTACAAATTCGGCAGCAAAGGTAACCTTTACTACTAAGGATATAAATTTGGGGTTTTTGCTAATTAAATGAGGAAGTTGAGAGGGAAAAAAGCCAAAAGAAAATATAATCAGGCCTAACAAGACAACATTATTTATAGATTGCAAAACTTTCATTCCCCTCTGCTGCTGTCAAGCCAATGTGCCACATACAGAGGGAGAAAATGTAGAGGCAATGCAATCAAACTTCTAGAATTCAAGGCTTAAAGTCGTGAGTCACTCGCTGACCCACAGACTGGTGTTTCCTGGGGCCTCCCCTGCACATGCAAAAGTTTGGACACCCCTTGTCAAATGATTTAAAATAAGCACACACCCTACGTTTGTGCATTAAAATTTGCAGACAGATGTTTAAGTTTGTTCTCTGTAGAGAATGTGGTAACTTATTTACACTTAATCAACAAAACGTTTGCATTCGACGGTAATTTTGTTTTCTCCAACACATACAGTCATACTATTAGCTAATCATCAACCCCTGTGTTAGGGCAGAGAAAAGAGAAAACTATGCAGTAGTTAAAAAAGTGACCTAAATCAGAGGTTCCCAACCACCAGGTCGCATACCAGTAACAGGCCGTTTGATACAGGGCCTAACAATGCAGCAGTGAGCATGAATGCTTAAAGTGCTGAAATTCATTTTATTTGTATTATTATTATTAGAATAGTATTTGTGTAATTAGTATTATTTAAGTGGCATTTTAAAGCTTAATTCAAGCCAACTAATTATTAATTACTAATTAATTACTAATTATTAATTATCTTTTACATGGCCTTGTGTGTGTAAGTATGTTGCTTCAGTTGATGGCTATTAGGGGGGGAAAAACCGACTCTTCGATACATCCCGATGCGGACGTGGACGATTCTGAATTGATTCACAAATGTCAAAAAACTATTTTCTAGATTTTAATTGATAACGCAATGTTAACAGAACACAAAAGGCGGAACTCTGCAAAGTGCGGAAGTGCAGCGCCCGGACAGTATAGAACTTATAGCCTAAAACTAGTGCAGGGGTCGCAACCCAAATGTTAATAAGAGTCATTTTGTCCTTTCAACAAAAATCAAACCAACTTGGGAGCCACAACGTTTTAAGTCAATTTTACCATCTTGGCTGTACATGTGTCTCAGCACGTGCTAATGTCCTAGTGTAGGGTAAAAATATAATACAAACAAAAACGCAGACATACTTTGCTCTACTTTAAGCTTCAGCTCAGCTGTAGTGGCTTTTCTTGCATCACCAGCTGGAAAATTTTCCACAAAAGTAGAACAGTTTCTTGTAAAATGTCTCTCAATGGTCTACTTTTTACAAGGCTGAAGTCGCTTCTCGTTCGAATTTCTCCGTTCCACCTTAAAAGGTGCCTGAGGCGCCAGAATGTAACTACTGCACCATTTAAGGTGGAACGGGTCAATTTGAGCGGGACGCTGGAGAACGAGAAACTGACTTCACATGTTTTCTTTAGTGTTTTACAGTTTCTCGTTGCAGCTTTAATGTATCAGGAAACCAGCTGGACTGATAATAAATGCAAATAAGTCTATCTGTCTCCAAATTATGGATGTTCGTCTTAAATCTTTGTCTTTGTCTTTTCGTTAGCTACTAGCTAGGTGAACTAGCAGTTATAGGCTACATTAATTCCAGTGTTTAAGATCATTTATTGTTGAAACTGTGTTTGAACGATCAGCAGGGCTTCATTTTACTGCAAATGAGGCCAGTAAAAGAGCCGCATGTTGCCGACCCCTGAGCTAGCATATGGAAGCACTTTGTTTCTGCCCATTTTCCGCCCGGTTGTGGTTGCTTCCAACCAGGGGACCATCGATCAAGCGATGTCAGAGCTTCCACCCAAACTGAAACGGACGAAGCGAACTACAAACTCTATTGCAACTTTTATTGCCAAGGATTTGGATCCGTACTCAGTCGTTGAGAACCAGCGTTTTCGCGCTATGTTGCACACTTTGGAGCCGAGATACAGTGTCCCGTCTTGAAGATATTTTACTGACATAGTGACCCCCCCCCAACCGAAGTTATAGAATCCCTGAAGAAAACGGGCAGAATAGCTGTAATCTGCTGGGTGGACACCCACTGCCACAGGATCTTATTTCACTGTTATTTTACCGCAGATGAGTGGCAGCCTGCGTCTCATGTGCTCCAAACAAGAGCAGTGAATGAGAGTCTTCCAGTTGACTTGCCATATTGCTTCCATTTCATTTATTAATAAAAGATATTGGAAGTACATTCATTATGGATCATTACAAATACTTTGATTTAAAAGTTCCAAGTTGTCACAAAGTGAGAAAAAAGAAATCCTGTATAGAAAAAAAGATGCATCAAGATGCATCAACAATCATTTTATAATCATACTGCAGCCCTCTGAATCGTAATCGAATCAAATTTTGAGGTGCCTAGAGATTCCCACCCCTAATGGCTATTATAAGTGATAAGGTCAAAAATTTAAGAAACTCCCTTGCCACACTCCAGCACAAAGAGTAAGCTGCGTTTGGGTTTGGTTTGAGTTTTATTTTCTCTACAGGATGCAGAAAAGGTAGTCTATGCATTTATTACTTCAAGGCTAGATTACTGTAATGCCCTGCTGTCTGGATGTTCCAGCAAAAGCCTTAACAAGCTTCAGTTAGTCCAGAACACTGCAGCCAGAGTCCTCACAAGAACCAGAAAGTGACCATATCAGCCGAGTTTTATCAAAACTAAACTGGTTGTCTGTTAAATTTCGCATCGACTGCAAAACTCTTTTTACTGACCTATAAAGCTCTAAACGGACTCGCCCCTCAGTACCTGAGTGAACTTCTCTCCTACTATGAACCATCACGCCTACTTAGATCACAAGGTGCTGGCTTACTATTAGTACCTAATTAATAAAGTTACATCGGGGGGGAGAGCCTTCTCATACAAAGCCCCCCAGTTTTGGAATAACCTTCCAGTCAGTGTTCAGGACTCAGACAAAGCCTCAGTCTTTAAGTCTAGGCTAAAAACTTACTTGTTTAGTAAAGCCTTTGGTAATTAGTTTTCCCTGTTAAATAAAAGGTGCAGATCTGGGGGTTCATGGACATAGAGTATTATGGTAAACTGTGAGTGTTGGTGCTGTCGTCCCACCTTCACTTTAAGTTTGCTGACAGTGGAGTGGAGGGGCGCTGATATCTCAGGGAGTCCTCATGTCTCTGTTACCTTTCTGGCTTCTGCCTTTTAGTTGGGCTGTAATTAACTAGACCTGCTGAAGTCTGTGCTGCACTCTCTTAATACTGTAATCTGTGATCAGTCACTCTTTACAGAACTCTGTGTGTTTTCTTTGCGAAGCTGAACAGCTGCCCATCCTGTGCAGTCTGATGCTGTTGCTTCTTATGTCTTGATCGGGTGCCCACTGCTGGCCAGCCTTCTGGACTGTTTCAAATAAAAAAAAAAATGATAATAATATCTGTCTAAATAATAAGGGGGAACCTAACATTTCTTTGCTGTTTCCTCCATCCTGGAGTGTTGTGAGCATCGATGACCGCACACAAATGTACGTATGTGGACTGAAAGGACGACAATCTTATGACAGCCACAGCGTAAAAGCGTCAGAAGAGAATTTAAAATGCTAATGTGCCTTGCATTTTAAATGTTGACCCAATGCTGTTCACGTCTGACAAAAATACTGGGGTCAGAAACAGTGGAATTCTGAGTGTAATTAACAAATCTTGATAGTACTGAGAAACTCTACAAAAGCTCTGGCAATCAATAGTGACTGCGCTCTAGCAAATGGAAAAGGGTTCAGCTGCAGTACTGTACTTTCAGACCCACACTCTCAGACCTGCACTCTCAGCTCCGTATATGATGTGACATAGTGGTCGAGAGGCTTAGTGACTACCATACATGCGTTTTATTACATGAAGGGCATGGAAGGCAAAAACCCTTAAACTCTATCCCAGCAAACACAGATACGTCAACTGAAAGATTCCTTCAACTGAACAGAAGAATAAAACCTGGAATGGTACTAAGCAGCACAGTTCTCAACAAAAGTCTTCCTCCAAAAGAGAACAGAAGTCATTACAAAGCCAGTGGTCTTCTATTAACACACAAATACGATGTGAATCTGACAACCTTTTTTTAACCATAAATTTAATGCTATTTATATCTAGATAATAATCAGAATATTTTCATATTTTTAAACTGAGATCCATAACTTGTCAACACCCTGTTGCAAAACAATATAACGCACTTAACAATCAAATGCTTTAAAATGGTCCATATCCTACATTTTCTTTGTATCTTATTTTTTCCAGTTCACTTATAATGTGTGATTTTATGTACCAAAATCAGTCGTACTTCATTTTTACATGACTACTTTCAGCCTCTCTATCCCTTAAAATTTAACAGGCTTTTTTGTGCTTTTGAGATTCAAATATGTAAATGATTTCTATTCTGTTTGGCTGCTCTGTTCTGGGCAGTGCTAAACTGCTGTAGGCTGATTAAGCAGATTGTGTTGGTTTTTATGACATCACTAAATAATGAGCCGTTTTTGCAGTTTAGCTTTTATGTTTGGGCTGTATACACTGGGGAGAGAATGGTACGTCTTTCTAAAAAGGTGAGGAAAATTCAGTTTTACAAGATATAGGCCCTTTAAAACATTAGAGCAATTTCTGGTCCATTCACCCAAACAGAAGTCAACATGACCTCTGATATCCCTCTGCCTCATTTTCATACCAATGATTATAATTCTGGACATACCTATTTATCTTTTGAAGGGATGCAAATATGTTAATAAAATTCTAAATGCTGTCATTGTGGCATTCCAGGCACAGGTATTTTTCTTAGACACACAGACAGACCGAGATATAGACAGATGGACACAGACATACATACAGACATATAAACAGGCAGGTATTAAAAGGATTTTCAGATAGTTTACAGAACTGGCTAAAGCAAACGAAATACAAAGCTAGCAAAGCTAACTCACTTAGCTGTGCTTGTTCTGTTACATGACTACAGGGGGATTCAAAAAGATTCATTCGATTTCAAAATGATTTATTCCGCTTGCAAATCATTACAGAACAATGCAGTAAATTGTGAATGGTTTAAGTTTATTATGTAATTTTACAAGTGCTCAATATGACCTGCTCCAGCTGTACGGACAACATCAACATGACAGTCAAATTCACCCCATACTCGATTGAGCATGCTGGGTGTCACTGTACTCACAGCTCTATCAATGCGATTTTGGAGATCATCCAGTGCTGTGGAACCAACGACGAATGCTCTGAGCTGTTGGAGGTTCATAGCTGACGAAAATTACATTGCACAGTTATGACGGACTCACTCTTATTGAAGTGGAGAACGCAAAACGCTTTCTGTTCAGGGGTCGCCTACTCCTTGCAGACTGAAGGGAGCCATCTCCCGGTGACAGTCAGAAACTCTTTCAATTGGTATGTGATTGGTTCCTAGGGGCCTCACGGTTGTAAAAATATGACGCTTTGAAATCGGATAAATTTTTTTGAATCACCCTGTATAATGAGGTTTAAATCCAAGCTAATGTATTTACCTGAGACGTTAATTGAGGTTCCGGCGTCAATCACTCCGCTGTTTGGTCGCACACAGTAGCGGCGCGGGGCAGTTGTCTTCACTTTAAAACACACATTTCTGTCTGTGGGGTTAGCAAGCTTTAGGGTCGTGGTCACCACATCTGTAAACGGACCTAAAACCAAAGACAGTTACATCTTTTGAATGATTAAACTGTGAATTTGCCTAAATCGTCCCTCCAATGTATGAAAATTTTATTCAAAACACTGGTCTTGTGGAGGGCAAACACAGAAACAACAGAGGTAATTACGCAGTTACATTGTACCATCAGTGGCAGCTAAGTGTGCAGTACAGCGTAACCCATAAGAAACTAGATAAGAAACTACATACATTTTTGTTGTTTTGGCTCTGTACTCTAGTACATTAGAAAACAAAGTGCAGAATGTCAGGTTTAATTCTAGGATATTTATATCCATATTGGGTAACCATGTAAGAATCACAGCCCTCTCTATACTAGGGCCAATAACATTGACCAGTATGATGAACCATGGCACATGTTGCCAATAACACACCAAAATTAGTTCTGTTGACATAGTGAGGGGATGTTGGGGTGTAGAAGTTGCAAGACTGCACTATTTTACATAAAGCGTGACGGTGTAGAGACAGGGTCCCCCTCAAAAAGATCAGGCTGAACTCCAAAGTTCGACTTGCACATGCATGATATTTTATTTTGCACACAAGCATGTGAAAAGTGAAAGAAAACACTGACATAAAATAAACGGGTTGCAGTGCAACTAATATGGCTAGGACAAAACAGACTAATTCTAATCCCTTACACTGTCCCACGTGGATATTTCTGGCTAAACGTCAGCCAGTTTGTGCCGGAGGCCACAAGGCCACATAGACACATCCTACAGTCCCTCTCTTTTTTCCCTGAATGAATCCCCTCCACTCCTTTTAACACCATAGCCCCACCCCATCTGGTTAAACCAAACCATTCCCCAGGGCTAGTGAGGGGTTACACAAAACAAACAATAACAAAACAACTTCAGGACAATAAACACAATGCAGATAAAACACATAAGAAGAAACTTCCTTTTACCGGTAAGTATATTCATTTATATTGATTTACTCTTAACTCTTTTCTGTCTTTCCCCACAGGTTCTCGGATCCCACCTCCCCCTTTCTACACACAGCCATAGGCTCTACCAGCCAGTATAAGGGAAGCCCTGGAAGGTGCCTGTGCTCCCTTTAGGATCAGGACAGAACAAGGTAAGTATTTCTTCTATGTACATTTTAATATCACCTAGGCTTCAATCCCCCCAGTCACTGTCCCCTTTTTATGTCCCAGTGTCCTTTCACAGTCCTGGTGATGGGACCTACTGACCCCATCACACACAGTATTACTGGGATTTAAATTTGCAACTTCTTGATGATGTGATGAAACTTTTCTATGACTGTGCTACTGGGGAACACAACATGAGTCATCCAATTTTTTGAGAGGACAACAATACAGTGGTGGTGAATTTGCACAAAAACACATGGTTAGCATGAGAGTAAAATATCGCAAACAACTTTTTTTTAATAAAGATAATTAATAAAAAATAAGAGTTAACAGAAACTTAAATGTTACTGGTAGCTTGTTATTTAAGACTGTGAGCGTCTGCTGTTTAGGAACTATGACAATTGAGAAATAAAAACAAATCATATCTCATAAAAGCACTATTTAACTAACTAATACTATTGGAGTATAAAATTAAAATCCAAAACACAAAGTATATATAAAAGTTCTCCCATTTAAGGGACCAAAATTGATACAACTTTATAAATACACCTTTTGTGTTTAATGCTTGGTTGCAAATCCTTTGTAATCTGTAACAAACTTAGATCTTTGATTCATAGACATCACCAGATGCTGGGTATCTTCTCAGAGGAAGTGATGCTCTGCTAGGCCTAAAACACAGACATTTTTAGTTCTTCCTTAATTCGAAATTTTTTTGTTTTCAGTATTCATGCTGTAAGCTTAAAAACTAGAAACAACAAACTTTCAACTATATTTGCTACAGGAATATTGTGTTTTTTGGGTAATGTCAACAGCGTTCAAATAACTGAATGGAAAAACTCTATACTGCAATGAAGCAAATTAAAAAAAACACAATAACTGGACTAATAACATACTGTAGGCTAAAGTGCTGCAACTTAGTGACGCATATAGGCTAAATACACTTCTAAAACAGAACCACAAAGAAAAAAAAACAGGTCATTAAACAATCAGTATTTCACAATGTATAAGAAACAGTTAAATGCAGAAAGATATCTTAACATCACACAACTTTCTACATCACAGCCTAAAGGTCTAGTCCATATTTCCTTAAACTATTTTTAAACATTGCTCAGTTAAAAGATGTTTACATTCTTTTGCACTTTATATTTATTATTAAACTGCACTATTTGTAAATAGAAAAACTACCATTCACATACATGCAATACCCTCATGTGCAATACCATAGCTGCTACATTCTTCTACATCCATCCTTTTTATTTGACTTATTTTACTTTTTTATAATTTTATTTAAAATTGTTTTCTCTTTATTTTTACTTTTTTGTAATTTTAAATTATATAGTCTTTACTTTAGCATCTTGCATTTTATGTTTTACATTAGCCTATATTTTTGCTTTATTCCTAGTTTAATCTATTTTTTTTTGTTTATGCACCGTTACAATTGCTACCCAATTTCGTTGTACCCTGTGCAATGACAATAAAAATTCTTGAATCTTATATCTTCAGGTGTTGTACTAGCAGCCATATCACACATTAGATAATGTACTTCTGTGTATTCCCTTTGGAATTATCAGGATCTACCATGTAGTTGTGTTGTCATTTTGACGTCTGCACCTTGCTCCCATATTAGGGACTCCAGGTCTAAGCTCAATTTCTCTATGACCAGAATGAATAGGCCTCTGTCACACCCTGTGGTACATATAAAACTTCAAAACTCGATATGTTTTGTCCTGTAAACATTTCTCTCTCGAATATTACTGGATCCTCTGAATTACGAGGTTGTTAAATAGTTGAAATATGAATATTGCTACATGTAAGCTGATGCTACTGTGCACTGAATTCACGTCATTAGACTGGCAGCCTCCTTAAGCACGCTTTGCCAGTGTGGTAGCGTATTTCCATATACAGACTGAGGGCAGATGAAAAGAGGTCAGAAGAAGCAGGTTTTCCTGCAGTTCTCTGTTCTTCATCTGATAATCACTGAAACACAATAGAGGCTAATTCAGCACAGACTCAGCTTAATATCACTGCTCACCCCCGATAAGCTATCTGGTATCATTTTCTGAGGACATTTTCTCAGGACATCTGCCTGCTTCTTGTTTGAATTTTCTGGTTCCACCTTAAATGGTGCAGCAGTTACATTCTGACGTGCTGAGCCATTTAATGTGGAACGTGAAAATTTGAACAAGCAGCTAAGAAGTTAAATTAAGGCTCACAGTTTAACACTGGTAGTATTTTCTGATAGGGAGTTTTAGGCTAGTAAAATGTTCTACCTATGTGTTATATTTATGGGTATACCTGTAAAAATGCGCTACAGTAGAACATTTTCATAAGGTAGCACAACTCGTCAGAATGCCCCCATAGCCCGCCTTCTGTTTCATGTAGCTTAGTGACATCAACTTCATGCACTGTGGCATCAGCTCGCATGTATTAATATTAGTATTTAGGCTCTTTAACAGTCTCATAATTGAAACGTTACCGGTTACCGGTTTCACGGTAAACCGCGGTAAATTAATGACGGTTAGTAGTACCGTTTGAACTTTAAAGTATAATTAAAACCATGGTGTGAAAAACTCGATGTACAGAGTCAAACAACGGCAGAATCATTCTCTCAGATGCAGCTCTGTGTGTGTGGAGGGGAAGGGGGAGGAGGAGAGGGAGAGAGGGAGAGGGAGAGAAGGGAGAACATGGCGGAATCTAGTGACAGATTCTGAGATATTTCAGCCTTCTAAGAAGACCAAGTCTGATGTTTGGTCATATTTTGGGTTTTATAAGGATGCAGAAGGAAAGTGAAGATGACCCTCCTGTCTGCAGAACATGCCGAAGGAAAACAGCGGCAAAAGGGGGCAACACATCAAACCTTAGGAGTCATCTTTGCGACCACCACCCGCTACTTTTTAGAGAATGCAAGGTTAACTTTAACGTAGAAGTCTGTGGGGACTTCGAAATAGAAGAAATGTCATGGTCTGTGTGGTTTAACTTACACTTATGGTTCGTTAATAATATAAAATGAAGCTTTTTTTAAAACAACAACTGGTGAATCAACTGTGAATCGAAACTAAAGCTTTTAACACATTTTTCTGTGGAGCAGAGCCTCCAAAATGTGCTCTGAGTTAACTGTCACACAAGCTCTGGAACGAGACGCTGCAGAAGTTTAATCTGCACAGCTCCCCTTTCTCGCCTCGCTTGCAGTGTTTACTTTCTGAGAAGAGAATAACACCCGTCTCAAATCACTCAATGTCCCCTACATAGTGTGCTTCTTTTCAAACAAACACAATCATCATTAACAAGCAGTTGAGTTTTAAATAGGGAATTTGTAACCTATTGTTAATGTTGATTATAGCTGACTTAGTCGAACATTTCATGCACTCTTTGGGTGAAGGATTTAGTTTTAAAATGCTTTTAGAGAAGCAGCTCCACGGGTGAAGACACCCTTTGTGAGTTCTACACTGTCTGCAGCTCACAGCACGGTCACACAATTTCTCTGTGATTTTGGCTGTTTTTCCTGGTGCACTGTATTGATTAGGGGTACAGCGCCACAACGGCACAATAATGCTGCAATTGCAGTTAGGACAGAAATCCCCCGAGTGCAGCACTTCTTAGAAGTAGTAATTTTCCATTAAGACCCACCTCAGAGTTGGTCGAGATTTAATTCTCTATGCAGGGAAATCCCTAGTTATTGTAATTAATAATAATAATGATAACAGTAATAATAATAATAGCAATAACAGTAATAATAATAATAATAATAATAATAATAATAATAACAATAACAATAACAATAACAATAACAACAACAACAGTAATAATAATACATTTGCTATTCTTTCATTTACAGAGTATTACAAGTATTGTAAGTAATACAAAAGTAATACTGCAAATGTATTGACTAT